TTTTTATTTGTTAAATAAATTTTTAAAAAAAACATTAATTATTGTACAAATTGTCGAATAAAATTTAAAAAAACAACAATATTTCGTTTGAAAGCTTAGTTTATTTGTTTTGTTAAAATTTATTAAAATCAAATCAAATTATTTTAATTGATAGATGGTTGGGAAGGAGTTGAGTCGTATTATATATGAATAATAATAATTACAATATTAATATTTTAAAACAAATGTTAATTACAAGCATTAAAAACACTAAAATATCTATTTGTATGTATTATGTAATATACATGAAGATGTGAAATATGCATTCATTATAAAGCAATTTCAACAAAATGTATGACAAATGTATGACAAAAGGATTGAGGAATCGTATGGTTTGAAAGGAATGATCAAAATGAGACAATTGTGTCGACCAGTCGCTGATCACAATGTCTGACATCGCTTGTCTTGTTTGCCACGAATTAATTGAAGCCATTAGAGTGCGATTATATGTAGTACTCGAAACAATTGAATACTAAATACAAAAAATTAAAAGTTAAATAAATACATAAATTTAATACATTTCACGAACTCATACCTGATTTATTCCCGGCAATGGAACCATTTCTTTCAGAAATATCTTATTATCAATAAAATTGCGGCACAAAACTGATGATTGACTTAACAAAACTGTTGACTATAGGTATGGCCATCAAAAGACATGTGTTTTTATTATATTGAACGACAACTTTGATTTCGGAAACACTTTGACTATGTATTGAAGTAATCATTTTATATGAGTTGATTGCCATCGAAGACAAACAATTGATGAATCTGTGGTCCGCTTCCGAATTGTAAGAATTGAGACATTTTGTTAAGTTTAAGACATTGTTCCCAATTGTGAACATTCCTAGAGTTGGCTACTATGACAAAGTGATGTCCATTTGACACAAATTTTGTTATAATGTTGGTATCGATAGCGTATAGTTTTGTCAACAATTTATAGCCACTGACAGTATTGGTGTAAACATTAATTTCTTGACATCCATTGTTCAGATACTGACCGACAATAAACAGATGTTGTGAACGTGTATTTTGATACGACAGGAGTGGCGGACCAAATGGTATGACAGCATTCAATTCATAGTAAGCCAAACGATAATTTTGTTGATCCAATGCCTGTTGGACTAAACCAATCTGTTTGTCCTCAAACTCGGTTAGTTATTTACAAACTTGTTATTAGAATTAGTAGATTTGTTAAAAATACGACTTCACCCGACCCGACCCGACCCGACCCGACCCACACCATTCAATCAATTGATATCTCTGTTTTCTCAGTTCTCATACTTGAATCCGAACCATTAGATTCATCACTTGACATGTTGTCGTCTAATGGCGATGTCGTGGTGTCTGATATAGACATTCCTTCAGGAGTAGCACTTGTAGTTAAAGACCTAATAAACAATAATATATATATATATATAATATATACCGTTTGTCATAGTCATACCTCAACAATAGATCCATCCAATCACTTGGTAGGTCACCTTTAAGACGGTCACCAAAGTATCTGTAGTATATATATATATATATAATATACATTATATTAGTCATGAAATACTGTATACTATTATAAAATTGTAATAACTTTATAAACTTAATGTCACTCTTGAGATAATCTATTGTTAGATCCATTTGTTTGTAAGCCATTTGTTCAACAAACGACTCATCAGTTTCTTGTTGACTGTTTGATGACATTTTATAACTACTATTTAAATGAAATAAAATATTAAATGAATAATTTATTTAAAAACGTCAACCCTTTTATACTACCTGTCCTTTCGACAGTTAGTAACAGCAATCCTTAACAATGACTTATTGTCTGTAGTTTTCCTATTTTTCTTCACTTTTTTCTCAACCATTAAAGACATTGCGATTAATCTTATGGAAAAATATATTTAGTTATATATATGTGTTTTAAACATGAATTAGGAGTCACCTAATGGTATGACTGTCCTCTTCAATGTAAACTAACACTTAAACAACAACAACAACAACAATAAGTGGACACAAGTGTGTCACGTGACTAGTATTTAACCAATAGATGGCATTCACTAAAACACATACACAGTCTATACAACAGTTAATGTGTCAACAATTGTATCACTCATTCATTCATTCAATCAATACTTAAACATATTATAGTACACGTTGACTAAAATAAAATAATTTAAAATTTTTAATATATAAATAACGTAATATTATTATTACAATGTATTGAACAGTATTTTTATTATTATAGTAATGGACTCACTGTTTATGTATTTGATTGTAACGGCATGTCTGGTCACTGGACTTATAGGCCATCAACACTCACATTCACATCATTCACATGAAGATGAGACAAACGAAAAGCCATCGTTTAAGTATTCACGTCAAGCAAATGTCGACCACGAGGCGACCGCAAAGCCAAACACTGATACACATCACCCGAAAGCCGGCGGCTGTCCGTTCGGTCACAGCCATGAACCGGATCATAGTCACCAAAAAGCTGATCCGTCAACCGTTTGGATGTCTGCAATGGGCTCTACTTTATTGATATCATTAGCTCCTTATGTGATACTATTTTTGATACCATTAGATAACTCACCAGAATATGACTCGTGGCTTAAAGTGTTGTTAAGTTTTGCTTCGGGAGGTCTATTAGGTGATGCTTTTCTTCACCTAATACCTCATGCAATGCCCGCCGGCCATAGTCACGGATCAGCCGATCACTCGCACTCACATTCAGATCATCATTTAGACGGCGAATCTCATAGTCATGATATGTCAGTAGGTCTTTGGGTTTTGGCCGGTATTATTGTCTTCTTAATGGTCGAAAAGTTTGTACGAATTGTCAATAAAGGTCGCGGCGGACACAGTCATAGCCATGGATCACATTCGAGTGAGAAGAAGACGAAGAAAAGTGATGAAAGCAATTCAGAGACTGAAATAGAGTCAGATAGCAATGGGAAAGACATTACCGGCGATGAACTCAAGTCTAAACATAAATTAAAAACAACTGAATCAGGTATTCATTAATAATAATAATATAATTAATAAATTAATGTTTACATTGATTTGTTTTATTGTCATTTTAGGTGAAATAAAAGTCTCCGCTTATCTCAATTTGGCCGCCGATTTCACCCATAATTTGACCGATGGTTTAGCGATCGGCGCCTCATATTTGGCCGGTCAGAGCATCGGTATTATCACTACAATCACGATTTTATTGCACGAAGTTCCGCATGAAATCGGGGATTTCGCTATATTAATACAGTCGGGCTGTAGTCGCCGTAAAGCGATGTCTATGCAACTGATCACAGCTGTGGGTGCTCTGACCGGCACAGGTATCAGTTTGTTTGCCGAAGGTATGGGTGATGCGGCCTCGTCCTGGATCTTACCATTTACTGCCGGCGGCTTCATATATATAGCCACCGTTTCGGTAATACCAGAACTCTTGGAGAAGACAAGTCTCGTCCAATCAATTAAAGAGGTTTTGGCATTACTTGTCGGCGTATTTATGATGGTATTGATCGCTAAATTTGAGTGAAATTATTATTATTCATACGAATTGTTAAATAATTAATTGATTGATTGATTAAATAAATTGAAATAAATTTGTATTTTTTTGAAAATAAAAAATAACTATTGATTTAAAACTATTATTAATTATTTATATTATTATTTTAAAAAAAAATATTTGCTTACTTTTATAATTATAATTATTGTAAATCATTTTTATAACCAAGGTATTATTATTATTAATAAACTATTTTTTTTATCCATGAACTTGGTAAATTATTTTTTATTTTGTATATTAAAAAAAACTTTTTTAAAAATTATATATTTATTAACTTGGTTAATTATTTTTTTATATATATTAAAAACTATTTTTTTAAAATTATTTTTTTTGTATATATTTTTTTAAACTGCTTGCCATTTAAACAATGAAATACTAATAAATAATAAAAAAAAATATCTAATATTTTACTGTATATTGTGTTCTATTGAAATACAGTACAGTATATATCTATGCATTAATATTGAGTCATTATTTAATATTATTGACTAAGAGGTCAAGTATTAATGACTCAATATTTGCAGCAATTTATACTATAAATACTGCAATAGTAGACATATATCACGTGATTATATACTGTACACTACAGTACAGTATATGGACTACACATTAGATTGCATTACATTTGTGTAATATATTTATTATTATAATTGATTTATATATCATATGATATCAATTTTAATCCTATTTACATAAAAATTTTTTTAAATAGTATTAAACAAATAATAATAATTAAATGCTAGAAAACTATTTCTAATAGTATAGATGTGTCGTTTGATTGCTATAATAAATTCACTTTAAATTAGTCCAATACTTATGACTTAACAAACAGTTTAGAAATATCTATAAGATATGTATTATAAATAAATGTATAGTAATTGTTAATACAATTCAATATAAATATTGCTTTTATACAATAAAAGGAAATAATTAAAAACAATTAGCATATAATATCAATAGTAATAATATGAAAATATAGTATTATTTATACTAATAGTTATTATCAGAGTATTATTGCACCGGATTTGACACAAATAAAAAAATATAAATATATTTCAGAAAAACTTTCTTAACTTTGATAACTTTTTTTATATACATAGAAAATTTTATACAATAATTATTAATATTATGATATTTTTTATTAATTATTGACAGTATAGGTTATAATTTATTTATTGTTAACATTATATAATTTTTAAAAAGTATTCAAAAAATTATATAAAAATTATATTTTATTAATATTAAAAAATATTAATTATTTTTTAAAAAATATTAATTATTTTTTAAAAAATATTAATTATTTTTTAAAAAATATATATATTTATATATTCATCTATCTATCATATATTTATTAATCTATTATCTATTTTACTACACATTCTCATCATTATAAATAATAATGATAACAAAAATGTCTAATTTTTGGTTACATTTTATAAAAAATATATATATATGAAAATATCTCATCAAAAAAAAACTATATTTAGTTTACATATAAATATTTAAAAAAAATTGGGATGAACTACCTCTACCTCATAAAGTAATTTTAGATATAAATGCATATTCAAGTCTATAAAATATTTTAAAATTTATTTTAATATAAATTTTATGATTAGTTAATTAAAATTATGCATTTAAATATTACATAACTTATACTAAATATAGATATATCTGTATAATAATTATCAATATAATTTTGTTGTTGTTGATAATACAGTATAAGCCAATAATTTTATTTATTATAAACTGTATTTTGGATTTAAATATTTGTTTCAAAAGTTATTTTTATAATTTAAATGTAATGTTCAAAAATAATAATAAGCGGCTATTTTTTGAAGTGACTGTAAGTTTATTTTATAATAATTTTGTGGGAAAACAGTAAACCAATTGATATAAAATTTTATTATTAAAAAAAACTATTTCATTGTTTTTATATTGAAAAATATTTTTCTCAAATAATTTTTTGGTCTATAATTTTAGTTGTTTGTAATGTAATCTTTATTTTACAATTTTTTTATTCATATTTATTTGATATAATCTTATTGAAGAGAGAGAGAGAGAGAGAGAGAGAGAGAGATTAATTACATTAATATAATTATAATGTATTATTAAATAACTTTATTTTGTGTATCAATACATATTAAACAATATTTGTTCGCTAAATTGATTTGATTAATAATTTGATTAAAAATAAAATTTTAAATTCAATGTATTTACACATTTTGTTTATTAAAAACTTTTTTTTGACACACTTTAGTTTTTGTAACTTATTAATAATTATTAGACATACAGTATATTAAATCTATAATTTTTATTAAAATTTTTATTATTATGACATAAAAAGTTAAGACAGTGTTAAAACATAAAATATATGCTTAAATTAATTTTTAATTTATAACTTTTAAAAACAACTTTACATTAATATTAAGACAATTTTTCTGTAACTTTTGTCATAAAAATCACATTTTATTTATTATTTTATATCTTATTATTATTTGGTTTTATGTTTAAAATATAATTACTTTTCACGTTTAAATTGTTGTTAAAAATGTTTATTACTTATTTTATTTAGTTTCATATTATTTACACATAAAATGTTAAAAAGTTTTGAAAAATGTTTTATTTTTATTTTGAAAATATTGTGAATTATTTTGTTTGTATGAAAACATATATCATATGTCATATATTTTTTAAATACAAATCTATGGTTTGTTTGCCCAAAAGTTTTTTTTTCTATTATTTGTCCTAAATGTCTAAAAAAAATTTTAGGTTTTTTTTTAATTTTAAGGTATACTAATAAATTTATAATAGTAATAATAATAATAAATTTTATATACTGTACATATATGTAATTATTATATTATTATTAATAATAAATAACTATTGAATTAAATAATAATATAAATTGTCTAATAATAATCATCAGAATAATTGCTGGAAAGTAGCCAAAGGAATGATAGATTCTGGATGTGATGGATGTGACGGTTGGTTATTATACTCGAGACTACTGCCGGTGTGACTATGATTATCATTTGGCGACAGTGTCGGTGACGGAGACGAGAACGGACGGGTCGAGCCATTGGGACTACCGATGCCCGTCGATGGCGTCGACGGATGGATTAACAGAGACTGATTGCCACCTAAATTGATGTCCTGACCGTCCGGTAGCTTAAGATTATTGCGCCTCCACTTTGCTCTGGCATTTTGAAACCAAACCTATAAATATAAATATATATATATATATTTAAATGTATTGTCAATTGAAAAATATATTAAATTATAATATTAAGTAATTATTGGATTTGTAAAAATATTTTTTAAAACTTATTTTTATTTAATAAAAATAATATAATATATTTAATTGAATTTTTGGTTTTAGCAAAACTTTGTTTTGTAAACACTTCAAAAAACTTAGATATTTTTAAATTTGATATAATCTAATAAAACATAATATAGTATTATAAAATAGTAGTTTATTTAATTATATAAGATATATAAATAAAAAAAATATAATATAATATAAATAAATTGAAAATTTATGATATTGTGATACAAGTTTTGTTAACATCAATATCACTACCAAAATATTTATATATAAGAAAAAGATTGTAGAAAAATAAAGTTTTAATTTAATTAATCATTTAATTCAAGTTTTGTATATACAATGTACTGTATATACTGTTATAGAAACATATAATTTGTGTCTCTTTTTTTCATTACTCGTTTTTTTGCGATAAAGAAAATCAATTCAAATAAATAAATATATATTTAAAGTTTGTTTTGGGGGGTAAACCTTATTTAATAAAATGTTTTTATCACATAACAAATGAATAATTACATATAAGTGTAAACATTAGACACAAAATTAATTTTGTGTTTTATATTTATCCCATAAGTGTTGTCATCTCTTTAATACAAATCTGATGCTATATTTCTCACAATCAGTTTTAGCACAAAAATGTTGTATCATTTATAAATGACTTTCCCTTAGCGTGAGGGCTCAGATAGATATAACTATTTATTTAATAATTTTTATTGCATATTATATAATCCAAATGTGTGTGTGTGTGTGTGTGAGAGAGAGAGAGAGAGAGAGAGAGAGAGAGAGAGAGAGAGACTAAATATTTTAATTTTTATCAAAAATAAATACCGAAAAAAGACATCTCTTTACTTAAGATTAATGTTTAATCATTGAAAACATATAAATTATTTTTTTGAGGTAAAACTTTCAGCACACAAACACATAGAAAAGTACCCCAAAAAATAAAACTTAATTTATACCTAAATGATATCTATCTCTTACACTAAATGAATTAATTTTTGTTGGAAAAAGTCAAAAACTATTTGATAAAAAATTGTATTTATTTATTAGGACTTTACATTACATTAGATTACATTACATTATATTTAACATTAGTATTAGTACAGTATTAACATGTAGTAGTAGTAGTAGTACAGTATGTAAGGCATGACATATCTACAGTATAAGTAATACTTATTAATAGTGTATTGATTAATAATTTTTTATACTCTATTAAATAGTTGTTATAATAGTTGCTAAAAAAAGTCATATAGTTGTTAAAATAGTTATTTAAACTGTATTAAATAGTTGTATATAGTTGCCAAAAAAGCCAAATAGTTATTGAAATAGTTATTTATTTTCTTATAAATATTTCAACTTATATATAATTCACTTGTTTTCAGCATATTTACAAAAATGGTTTATATAAATAAACTAATTATTTCTATTGTTAAAAAAGTAATATGAGTTAATAATAGATTACAGATTTTATATAATTTATATAACTATTACTTTTTGTTTTTACATATATTTGTGCAATATTTTACAATTTAATGCTTATATTTTTCAAAATCAATGAAATAATTATTTATAAGTTTTTATAGTTGCTAACTTAACAAATAGTTATTTATAGTTATAATAAAATTTCGGAAATAGCGTCCACTGGTCAACTTCGGTGGACATACTAAGTACCAGTTATAAGCGTTGAACCGACAAAATAATTTTTTTAGTTGGAAATCAAGACACTACTTATTAAGTATACTGTTTTATATGATATATTTATTTAGTCAAATAATAGTTGTTTTCAAACTTATAATTTAAGTCAAACTCTTAAATGTATAAAACAAAAAACTGATGAAAATAAAAAAATAAAATAAAGTGTGTATTATAAGTGATAAGCAAAATGCTGGTTGAAATTACACTCTTTTAACTAATCGGAAACAATTTAATGCTATATTTAACATTGAAATCAATGCCTGACATAAATATAGAGATTTTTGTTTGACCTAACAATAGGTCTAATTTTGTGTTTCACTATATATTTTTTTACTGATAAGCCCTCTACTAAAACAGTGCAACAGTACTACAAACTTCAATACAGTAAACCAACAAAAAAAACACAAAATATCATATATTATGAAAAACCAATGCTATTATAAAATGTAAGTTATTTTGTGTCTATTGATAGGGCTGTAAAACATTGCCCATTAAAAACTATAACTATTATTATTATCAATGACTGACAGCTACACTCATAATACTGTACATACAGTTTACATTCAAACACAAAACATTTGACTTAAAAATAAGTGCAATAAAAGTAAAGTCAAGTGAATTTCAAACTGTTTTATATGTTTGTGACGACTAGTGTGTAATGATAGGAGTGGGCACACGGGAGGGGGGAGTATAGGGAATGGGGTCTCAAAAGTAATGTGTGAGTGAGTATACACAGTGAGTGAGTGTGTGTTACTATATGCTTATGTATGTAATGTAATGTATTATTGTATGACTCAAACCTGGAGAACCCTCTTTGAAAGGCCGGTCTTCTGTGCCAATTGTTTAAGATCTTTGGCGTCAGGATTTTGATTGATAGAGAAGTATGACTTCATTGTCCTCAACTGGTGGTGTTTGAATGACGTACGCATACGTTTGGTCCTCTGGCCCGAGGCGTGACCCGACAACACCAGAGATGTACTGGTTATCGACGACTGGCCATCGCTCAGACAGCCGGTATCGATACTAGAGCTCAGATTTGACACCACATTGCCGTCCATTGTATTGCCTATTGTTTGATGTTTTTAAAAGAAAACTTTTTGTCAGTTAAAAGAGTCGATTCATTGGATTTGCAAAATAAAAGCAATGAAATGTCAATAAGTTTTTTTTGAGGCACTCTTTGATAGATTACACTAAATGTCTATTTTTATCTCATTTATAGACTCATACCTAATGTAGGACTTCGCGAGCTAGGAGTGGACGCCACTCCCGGTGAGTGAGTGTCGTGCAGTGGTGTCCCATCAGTTCCCTTACGTTTACGCGGTCGTCCTTTGCGAACGCCGCCGGTAGCAGTGCCTCCCGTAGAGCCAACCGGAGCGGTGCCGCCGCCGCCACTGTTAGCTGAATATATGGAGCCATAGGCTGGCATTATTGGCGTACCAGTTGTCCTCTCCTGTGCCGACGGATGGATGGCATTCTCCGATGACAATAGAAAGTGACCGCAGGTAAGCATCTCGTAATGGGTGCGACAGTAGACTAGATTATCTTTTAGGCCGAAATAATCTCCCTGTGCCAGTGTAGTATTGCACCAAGCACATGTAAAACACTGCATGTGATAGATATTGTCGCGTACTTTCATGACTAGTTCCGAGGCATAGATTCCTTGTCCACAACGGCTGCACCGCTTCATTGCAAAGATCCTGTCAATTGTATTGCAAAAGGCATTAACAGTCAGTCAGAGAGAGTCAGTAAGTCTGGACTTTTGGTTGAAAGAGAGGCATATTTTTGTGGCTCAAGTATTGCATGTATTTTTTCTGATGGTTTTTAACTAATATCGTGTTTTGCGTGTATTTATCACTACAAACAATCCCCAGACTTTTGAGGTTTTGTTTTACATATCATATACAACACAAATCTCAAACTATGCCTGAATTTTGTCGTTGCCTTATAATTATGTTTGACTTGTGTTTGACTAGTGTTTGATTAGTTGTTTGTTTTGTGTAAAAAATGTTTTCTCTTTCTTTCTAAACTTTTCAATGAATTTTACATTTTAACAAACAATAAAAATTCAGTAGATATTTGTAGTAAAATGTTTAGACTTAAATGAAAAATAAACTGCAATTCAATAGACATAAACGCAATATTATATAGATATAATATAAAGTATTTTGTATATATTATATACATATATATCTAATATTATTTATATGTTTATGTCATACATTCTTAGCACTCGTATTACAGTCCTTCTTAGGCTTTCAATGAAAAGACACACAAAAAATAATGGTTTTGTATTTTATTTATTTTTTTCTAATAGTTATGCACTTTATATTATTTGACAAAACATTTTTTAGTTTCAATACTATGTCAATCTCTCTCTTTTTTTCTCTCTCTTTTTTTTCTCTCTCTCTCTCCCTCCACTTACTCAATAAATACAGTATAAGTTATATAAATATTAGTTTATTTTAACTTTTTTTCAAATAATGTTTAGTTTTTTGATGATATTTATTATATCAAAAATAAAAAACAAATAAATGTATTGATTATTAAACTGCAAATATAATTGGGAATATTTAAAAATAACAATTGCAATCAGATTTTATTTACTTTTTTAATAATAATAATAATTATTATTAAATGGATTTTTAGATTAAGTTTAGAAAAATAATTGAATTAATACATAAGTTATATAAATAAATTTTAGTTAAGTCTCCAATAATTATTTTTTGTTGAAAAAAGTATTAAATTAAGTTTAGTATCAAAACCACTAATTTTTAGTTTAGTTAAAACAAAAAAAAATAGATTTTTAATTTTATTATTTTTAATGGAATTAAGATTAATATTTTTTGCGTTAATTTTTCTCGTAAAATAAAATAAAATTAAAAATCTCACTTTATTATAAAGTTTTGTTTTAAAAAACAATTTATTTTTGTTTTTGTTTTGATTTTTAATTTGATTAGTAGTATTGATAATTATATTGAAATAAAGCAAAATTTTATAAAATAAATTAGCTTTATATTTCTCTACTATTTATAAAAAGAAAAGTTTTATTTTGTGATAAAAACAATTTGATACCAGATTTTAATAAATTTTTTTTATAAAACTTTTAATTTATAGCATAAAATATTGACTTATTTTTATTATTATTAGAATTATTGTTATCTAATAATTATTATTATAACTGTTGTCTTAAGTAATTGTGTTTTTTGTTTAATGTATTTATTTATACCAAAATAATATACAGTATATAAATATATTACAAATTCAATAATTTACTGTTAATACTACTGTATTTCAGATATAATTTATATTTAAATATAAAATCTGATAACTATCTAAATAAAAAAGATTGACCTCAATCATCAACTTTAATGAAATTATATATCAATACATAAATTTTTGTCACATGAATTATTATTATATGTTTGATTTTAATTTTTTATTGTTTTTTTTGTCATAATTTTCCAATGATTTACTCTATATTATACATACAGTATAATCTGAAATTTAATTATACAAAACTGTATTGGTTTAAAACATTTTTTTTATTGTAATGTTCAACTATATAGTGCTAATGTATGTTTAATTAATAATAAAATTTTTAAATATATTTATCTAGAAATATAGTATTTACAGATATTGTTAAGCATTAAAACTTAATAATAATATAATAGTAATAATAATAAAATAAGTAGTAATCTCTTTAGTAGTAGAAAACCCCTTTTCATTCATTTAAGTAAAAAAATGTTTTCTGATATTTTGCTCAAAGCTATGTTAATAATAATAATAATAATTGTCAAAATTTATTACTAAATAACTATACAATTGGCTGCAAAAGGAAAATCAGTGACAAAATACAAACATTTCTCAAAAAATATAAAAAATTTCTAATTCAGTTGTTTTCAGAAAAGTTAAGTCAAATAATAAGTCATATTATATATATATATATAAGTTAAGACTTAAATGTTTTTAATTCATTGACAAACTTGTTATTGAAAAATAGTATAACATATCTGTATAATAAAAATAATGTATATTATTATCTAATTTCTTGACACAGGATTACACTATTGTGTGCCTCACGATTGCAATGACAGAACCAATTGATTTCAATTGAATGCTAATCTCTTTATAATACATGTGACAAAACTTTGTTTTGTAAAGTTTAGTAAAATAAAACAAAAAAAAAATCACAATTTTTTATGGTAGAGATGACAAATATTTAGTTTCCTAATAAATTATAATACTAAATACATTTAAGTGATTAAAGGTAGAGAGAGAGAGAGAGAGCACCGGTATGTTTGCAAAGCATTGGTACTGTAATATCGTCATAGCTGTATCAGTCATAAAAACTAAAGTAAACTGTTTCACCTGTTTTTTTGACGACAATTTTATTATTGCTTTTGAATTAGCATTTATTTTGTTATTATTAATAATATTATTAAGACAATCGCTAAACTAATAATCAGATTGTATTCAATATTAGTGCCAAATATTATATACCAAAAAAAATAGTGAGACATCTGTTGCTTTATTGTTATTTTTGTTTGAATTTTTAAATATTATAAAATAAAATCTTTTATTTTTTTTTATTTGTTACAAATATTAGTTTAAAGTTTTTCTTATCGATAAAAATCAAATATTGAATAACTGAAATTTAAATTAATAAAACAAACAAAAATGTTTGGTATTCAACAATCAAATAACACGACATTTGTATAGATACTGTATTATACTATATGTTTTCATTTATGAATTAAATTCAACGATAATATTTGTTTTAATTTTTGTTTTTGATAGATATGCCTACAACTGTGATGTATGTATAGGTAAAACAATCATCAGATTAGTTGATATAAAGTCTGTGACAGAAGGGTGCGAACTGGTTTTTGCTTAATATCTCTATAACTAATTGAGCTAGATCAATAAAAATTTTATGAGAAACATGGAATCCTGGGACGTATAACTTAGTATAGTTAGTTTTTATAGATTTAAGCTTATGTAGCTAAGCACCGGTAGGTGCCATATCTCTAAAACTATAATAAATATCTAAATTCTGATAATGTGAATTTAAACTAGGTGAAAATTCATAAGACACGTGTTTCGGTAATTTTTTTAAAAATTAATAAATTTTAAACAAAAAGCAAAAAAATGTAAAATTTGCGATATTTTGATATTTTCTAGAAAAAAAGTGTCAAGGTATTTTGATATGAAATTAATCTATTATTATTTGTTATTTTATTAGGAATAATTAATCTATTTACAATTTTTAATTATCATGCTTAGTTTTTGAGATATTATAGATAAACCTTTTTACCATTATATAAATTTAGTAACAAATATAATTAATAAAATTTTATAAGAAAAAATTATATAATGGTAAAAATGTTTATCTATAATATCTCAAAAACTAAGCATGATAATTAAAAATTGTAAATAGAATAATTATTCCTAATAAAATAACAAATAATAATAGATTAATTTCATATCAAAATACCTTGACACTTTTTTTTCTAGAAAATATCAAAATATCACAAATTTTACATTTTTTTGTTTTTTGTTTAAAATTTATTAATTTTTTAAAAAAATACTGAAACACGTGTCTAATGAATTTTTACCTAGTTTAAATTCACATTATCAGAATTTAGATATTTATTATAGTTTTAGAGATATGGCACCTACCGGTGCTTAGCTACATAAGCTTAAATCTATAAAAACTAACTATACTAAGTTATACGTCCCAGGATTCCATGTTTCTCATAAAATTTTTATTGATCTAGCTCAATTAGTTATAGAGATATTAAGCAAAAACCAGTTCGCACCCTTCTGTCACAGACTTTATATATATATATATATACCTATAATAATCTTCTTTACAATAGATGTGTCCCTCACGTGAAAAGCAGGTGAGCTCTGAGTCCAATGCGATCTTGCATTGGGAACACTTGAGACAATGGATATGCCACTGACGGTCTACGGCCGACAGGTAATACCTGTCTAGTATGGCTGTACCACAGCCGGCGCACTCGTTTCTGGTCGCACTGACTGTGACACTACAGTCTGGCTTATGTTCGCCGCCGTTTGGTCCCGAAGAGATGGCCGGCATTATCATCACAGCATATGATGGGCGTCAAGTGCACCGGTAGGTCACACTTATACACACACAGACACAGAATAACAAATAATTATTAATTATTGATGTTTTATATTATTAACAATCTATTAGTAGACACCTCCTACTAATTTGTTGATGATTTATGTTTCATTATTGTTGATAGAATTGATTGTTGTCATCAAATTATCAATTTATTTAACACACAATATTATAAAAGTTTTTTCTATTTATTATATACAACACAAAAATATAAATCAATAATTATTTATGTTGTTTGACATAATTATTTTTAAAAAAAGGGTTTTTCGTAATTAGAGAGTATTATAGTTATATTTATATATATTTTTAAACAAATACTTTATTGATTTTTATGCAATTAATGAAAAGTCAACTGAATATAAACTAATATTCTGTGTTAAGCTCTTAAAACAGAGAAAGAGAGACACAGCTTATAAAATAGTATGTAATAAACCTGAGAAGCACTCTCTATATAGTATATACTAGTATATGGGAACAGTTGGAAAAGCATTACAGACGGCATACGACTCGTAAAATCTGATCCACAGAACTAAACTAATGATGACATCCAACATAACATACACACTGTAGAGAGTGTGTGTGTATGTTCTGAGAGTACCAGTAGGTAGGGGCGGATCAAATAGGCGGTCACGAGTGGTTAGTCAGTGAGAGGCTCACACATGCATACATAGTCTGTATATACAGTTGTTCAGTGAGAACCATCCCTTGAATACTCAGTTTGCGTGTCTTTCAATAGTTGAGAGTTAGGGAGAGAACCGATAGAAAATAGGAGAAGCAGTGTTGGGCATAGTATTGGAAAACAGACAGCGCCGGAGCACAACAGGCATCTCATCTCTGAATTTACACCACTCGGATATCACAAGGACTTCAACGAAAAGCGCCTGTATGTTGGGCGCCGACCACTATTGCTTACACGCCAACTACCCGTCACATAAATAACACCAAAAAATAGTCATAAAAAATCACCTAAAAAACAAGACGACCACAGAATCGGGTCTATCTATGGTTTTTCGGTAAAAATTTTGTCGGTATAGTTGGCTAACATAGTTATCTTTAGCACTTAAACTAGTCTTATTTGATTTAGTTATTATTATTATTGATTACAATCTATGGTTAATCACTTAATTTATAAATATTTCAAATAATTTTTTGAATAGTTTTAGTTTTAAAAATAATATTATTATAATACTTTATGTACAATATGTGTGTGTATGTCATATCATATGTATCAAACTTATCAAACATCTTTAAAAAAATCAGAGTAATAATCATTAAATTATAGTTCAAAAAGAGTTATTTCACTGATAATATATAGTATTAAATATAGTATTTTACATGAAAAAAGCAGATAAAGTTTTATTTTTTTAAAAATCAGTTTAACTTAAAAATATACTTTTAAAATGTAAGATATGATACATACAAATGCATAACAATCGCTAAATATAATCAAACAATTGAATGCCATATTGTTGCGACTTTTTTTTAAAACTCTTTGACTATTGCATAATACGGGAACACAAATGCATATTTTATTAGGAGTTCCCCACTTTGTTAGTTCATAGGACTGTCAGTTATTTTTAAAATATATATAAAACTAATGTGTAATTCATGCAATATTACGAAATAATAAAACAGTATCAGTACAGTAAATAATAGTCTGCTGTATAATTTTAAATGATATAATAATATAAAAGTCTAAATAAATGCTAAAAACAATGACAACACATAAAATAAATTGAATTTTCGCACTCACTTTTCATCTCTTATGTTAATTTAATAACACAATTATCAACGCTTTTTAAAGCCTTTTTTGATTCCCACAACTAATTTTAAAGTTTTTTAATTTAAAAAAAATATATAATCAACTAAACAAAATAAAATAAAAATTTCTATTATTTTAAGTTAACAACGATTTCAATTAATATGAATTTTATATTTAGTGTTTAGTTTGAAATTATTTTTCATATTAGTATTAAAATATAACAATTAAATTTAATGTTAAATAACATTAATATAATGTATCAAAATATTGAAATATATTGAAATTAAGTCATTAGATTTTTTTTTTAAATTTGAGATATACAATGGTTATACATACTTATGACTTAATTAGACATACAATAATAATACAGACAATGAAAAAAAAGATAAGTATATAATTTAATTTAATTTTTATCATTGAAAATTGCTTAATTTGAATTCATTTTAATGCTAATTGAGTCAATTACTATGAAAAGCACAGGTAGCTTAAGAAATAGTTGTTTAATAAAAATAAATAAATAAATGAGCAATAGTTGAGTTAATTGTCCAAAAATTATCATTTTTATTGTCAAATTCGTTTGGTTGGCCTAAAGGGTTGTCATTAAAGGCTTCAACTTTAAACTTTTTATATTAATAATAGTAAAAAAAGCAAAAATTTTAATAATAATAATAATAACAATAAAAATGATAACAGCAAAAAAATATTTATTAAAATATTTTTGTTATATAATAGCTATTATATGTATGTATTTTTGGTACATAAAGATTATGTTTTAAGATATACTAATTATAGTTATTAATAGTAAAATAGTAGTAAAATAATATAATAAAGACTACTACTAGAGATAGAGTCAACAACAATAAACTATTTATTATTATTTTTTTTGAGTGTTTTAACTATATAATAATAAACCTTATATTTACGTATTTAAATTATGTGATTATCATTATTATTATTATTACTTTTCATATTTTATTTTGTTTACACTTTTTTTCTCTCATAGTTTTACAGATGAGCGACAAATCTGTGTCTTCATTAGTGTATTATATGTCGTTAATTGTTATGATTATTGAATAGACATTTGAAAAAAAACTATACAAAGGGTTTCCGATAGTAAGCTATAATAATAATAATAACAATTATAGTAATAAAGTCATAGAAAATTAGACACAAATCGTTGATATTTGTTACTTATGTTTGTTTTCACTATCATATTGTTTATTATGTTTATTAATTGTTATCTCAAACTTGCAAATTGTCAAACATTACTCAGATTATGATTATAATAATTACAATTTATTGATCATTTAGCTATAAGAAAGTACTACACTATAATATTGTGTATATATATATAATACAATAGTATTGTATTATCAATAACTACTTTAAAAAAATTCAAGTATAATGTATATAAAATATTCAAACCAAGTATAAGATTTAATGATTAATATATTGTTATTTTCCATATATTTTTATGAATTATAATATATGAATAACAAATACTTTTTTTAAACAGTTTTTATTATTTAGAAATATCATATGTAGAAATTTTTTAGACAATCAACTTAATAGACAATAACAACAACAAAAAATAATAACTATTTAAAGTCATTTCATTGACTGCCAGAAATTAATGGTTTTAACATCTATTTTGAATAAATTTCAAATTAATATTCAAAATGAATGGTGAGGGCAGATGATTATAGACACACTACAACTATGTACTGTATATACTGTATATATATATATATATATATATAAGCGAAATGTTGTGTCTAACCAGACATATTATCATCTGCTCTCTCACATACCCTCTCTTTCTATCTCCCGGTTCACCAGTGAATACCAGTGCTCAAGAGAACCGTTGTATAGTATATCAAATAAATGATTTTGTTTGATGTGGTTGTATAGTATTAATACATTGCAAACAAAACAATTTATCGATAAAATAGAAAATAGATATAAATTTTTTTAAAAACTAAACTTTTACTGTATGTTAAAAAAAATCAAGTTTTTTTTATTTTGAAAAAACGACAAGCACAAATAATTTTTAATTTACAAAAACGATTATACAATAAAATTATTTGATTATACTTAAAATTTATATTTTCTGTACAATATTAAAGTGATCAGATAAAATTTTGATTTTAGTTTAACTATTTATTTTTTTTAAAAAGCAAAATGTAAACATAATTAAAAGTTGCTACTATGTTATTATACTGTAGGTATAATAAGATATAAATTTACTATAATAGATAATTATATTGTATATAAATAATATATTATATAAATTTATATATAAATTATGGAGAAACCCACGCTTAGTACACGAGTAGCAGTCAGTGATAATTTTAACCACAATAACTGTCATTAGACTAAAATTTATATTATTTAAAAAAACATATTTATTGTTATGATTTCAAACCGACTTTAAGATAGCTAAGAGTGAATACACTGTATAGTTGTATATTAATATACATTTATAGTAGTTTTGGCTTAATATATCAGTTAAATTATGAGTATATAATTTTTAACGGCTGTCCCGTTTTCACTGTATTTATGTCTTACAATAAAATACTGATAAAACTATTATATATAATAGTTTTATCAGTTTTTTTTATTAAATATATATATAAAGACATTTTTATAAAAGTAATGTTAAGATAATAAAAAAAAAGATTTCTAAATATAAGACAATTTTTAATTATTGCAAATATCTTTAACACTAATAGCCTTAACAACTCTCATATACCGATATAGTCATACAATTCATAGTTTTAAAAGTTTTATATATTAATTGCATTTATTATATCTAATAATAAATATTAAATCTTTTTAAACTACTCTCACTTTTAAACATTTAAAATAAAACTCAATTTATGTCAAATAACAGATAAAAGTAAATGTTTTGACGCTAATAATTGAAGGACTGGGACTTAACTGACAGTTAGTGTTGAACCGATCGCCTCATCATTGAGTCTGCTTTATATTAGTTTGAATTGAGCACTGGTATGGAGTGCAGTCATAAAGCGGTTAATTGTAAGCAATTGACGCACTGATGGGTTTGCATTTCATGGATTGCATGTCTTCACCATCGCTACCAACAACTGCTTAATCTCTCTCTCTCTCTCTCTCTCTCTCTCTCTCTCTCTCTCTCAGTTTTTTCAACTAATTTATCTGTTGATTGAAGTAATGGCATCACTACTCAACGTCACTGTCGGACACCGCGCGCACAGCACTTACAATATTTCTTGCTTTGAGGTAAAGCATTGAGTTATGATTTTTAAGACAAATATAGAGTTGATATTACAGTATAATAGGACTACTAAACAGTTATTATTATTATAATCTATGTATAAGTAGTTAACAACATTTAGTTTGGTGGCTATAGCTTTGCAAAATTAATTTATAAATTTTAAATAAATAATTGCTACCGTATCATAAAATTAAAATAATAAACTTATCAAAAATTATGATCATTTAAGAAAAATTTTAAATATTGAAAAAAAAACTTTTGATTATAATTATTAACAGTAATAATTAATATGAGATTTAATCACAAAGGCATTTGAATTGACAACATTAGAACACTATATATTGTTTATTATTATTATTTTTTTTAATAATTTTTGTTTAGTTTTTATTTTTTGTTATATATATAGTATTATATACTGAATTATACAATATATATATATCTTTAAGGGATAGTCAAAGAAATTCTTGTGTAAGAAATGACTGCTCATTAAACTCACGATTAAGATCTCAAAATGCAATGAATGGTTTGCGACCAAAAAATAAAATAAAATAATTTTTTTTTTGAGAAACAAAAATAAAGATTCTCTCATTTTTTTGGTGACATAAAAAAACAAAAACACATATACTTTATATTTATATTTCTAAATATTCTTATAGTTTATTATTATTATTATTATTATATTTAAATGAAATGCTATTAAAACAAAATTATCAAATGAAAAGAAATTATGTCTTCAATGGCTTTTCACTGCAATGTGTTGTGTTTGCGGCGCGAAAGTCATGTTTTGAATATTTAATTAACAAAATATAAATAAAAAATATTTTTATTTTCTGCTTTTTTATATCACAACACAAATTTAAATAGTTTGAGGCGATAAATACGAC